TTCTTTTAAAGATCTTCTGGAGATACATGCTGAAATATTTATAGATGAATAAATGTCTGGGAGTAGCTAATGGGTGAGGTGTAAAGGAAATAAGAGCTGATAATTTCTGAAGCTGAGTGGTGAGTTTTTGACAGTCCATTAAACCATTGCTTTCAGTTTTTGGTATGATTGACTTTTTCATAATAAAGAGGTGATAATTGATGACATCCAATAACCCAAATATAGATTTAAGTGCAGTTTCCTAGACCCTTTGTAGGAATACTGGCTATATAGCATTTTTAGCAAAAGAAAACCAAGCAGTTCATTAAATCTTTATTGGAAAAGTTTTAGGAAAATTGGTAAGACAACATCATAACCTCCTGCCACTCAATCCTTTACAAAATTGCCATCAACCCCACATTTCAACCACACATTTAAAGAGGTTTTCTATCTGCTTCAGGTCACATTAAAGAACCTTAAAGGGCTAGAATGTATGGTAATAGCTCAAAAAACAAATGCTTATATTTAATGATTACCTATTTAATTTTTATCATTATTATTTATCAGTATTTTATCAGTATTATATATTAGTATATTTTATCAGTATTATGAACTGCCTGTTAGTACAAATAATTGATGAAAGTTTTTCTTTATAAAACTCTTTGTTAAGACATAAAGTAGAATTAAAACATTATAATTAACCTCCAGTGAGTTAAATTAGCCAGGGAATGGGGACAAACACACACCACACACACACACACACACACAGAGTCTCCTGATAGAAGACTTAAGACAAAAAATTAAGCATTTATACAAGTAATTAAGAATAGGATTGTTCTCTAATTATCTTGGAAAAGTATTCACATTATAACATGAAAATATATTGTTTGATTTTCACGAATTTCAATTCTATATATCTTTGAGACCATAGTATAGTAAATGAAACTATCATACATGTAATAAAGGTCTAAATAAAGGTTGATCCTTGACACAATTAATTGCTTTCCAGGAAGTTTGTATGAAGAAACTGGAAAGTCAGATGAAGATTAGTATATACTGTTTCATCACAATATTATTTAAATGATAATGTTTTAAAAATCAGAGTTTTCAAGGATAGCTACATAATTAAGTTATATCTCCTCATGGGGGAATATTTTATAGTGTTAGGGAAATCTAACTTAAAACAAAGTTTTCAACCCAGAAATACTCTCAGCAAGGTAGTAGAAGAAAAACTTTTATTATTGAATAAACATTAGACTGTGATGCACATTTCTGACAATCTAACAAGAGATTACCAAAAGAGAAAGAAATCTGACCCATTTTTGTAGCCAAGTAGATACAAACCATTACATAAATGTTTTAAGATACACAGTAATGAATCCTCAAGCAAAATACCTTCACAGCACAATTTCTCACAACCATAGTTCCTGCTAAATTTACCTGGAAGTTGGGTTGATCCTCTGCATTCTCTAATTGACTATATCCAGCAGAAAAGCTCCCAATTTCCCACAGAAAGGAGACGATAGATGCTATTTTAAAAGATAGCTCACCGTACTGGAAAAAGACATTCCTAAGTCATAAAGCTGACAAAAAGCCTATCTTGTTTTTTAAAGGATTTATACATAGTTTAAAGAGAGGAGACAGTATTTACCATGACAGTTTTCTAGAGTAAATGCATTACAAGAAAGGAGGGAGGAAAATCTCTTCCCAGTGATGCTGGAAGCATCACAATACTGAACCTCAAAGTATATTACAGAATTACAGTATTAGAAACAGCATGGTACTGGCAAGAAAATAGACATGAAAATAATGGAATAGAATAGAGACAAAACTATAGAGATATAATCATTTGATAATCAAGAAAGTTTCCATATATTGTACAAAGATAACAAATGTTTCTAAGAAAACTTATTATCCATATGTAGAAGAATGAAAACTGATTCCTATCTCTGACCTTACATAAAAGTCAAACCAAAATGGATCAAAGACATAGGCACTAGACCAGAAACTCTGCAACTGTTAGAAGAGTATGTGAGCTCAACACTCCAATATACTGGCACGGGCATCAACTTCCTTAACAAGAGTCCTAACGCTCAAGAAATAAAAACAAGAATCAATAAGTGGAATGGCATCAATTTAAAATGCTTCTGAAGAGCAAAGTAAAAATTTAAGAGTAAGTAAGAAGAGAGACCCTACAGAATGGGAGAAGATCTTTGTCACCTGCTCCTCAGGGAATTAATATCCAAAATATATAAAGAAATAAAAACCTTTACACCAAAAAGAAAGAATAAATAAAGACATACAACCCATTTAATAAGAAAATAAAATAACTAAAGAGACACTTCTTGAAAGAAATATTACAAATTATCAATAAATATATGAAAAAGTGTTCAACATTTCTAGCAGTCAGGGAAATGCAAATCAAAACTACACCCAGTTTTCATCTCACTCCAGTCAGAATGGCAATTATGAAGAGCACAAACACAAATGTTGTTGAGTATGTGGGTAAAAGGGAACACTCATATATTGTTGGTGGGACTGCATACTAGTACAACCACTCTGGAAGGCAGTATAGAGTGATCTACTCCTTGGTATATTTTTTAAAAATATAAAATCAGCATGGTGTAGGGATGATGCAGACACATCAATGTTTATGGCAGCACAATTCACACTAGCCAAGCTACGGAACCAGCTTATGCCCATCAACAGATGAAGGTATAAAGAAAATGTGAGATATATATATATATATAACTAATACATTTTTAAAAAATCCCTTTGTTCATTTTTAACAGTGATAATTAAGCTTCATTGGGTTTTTTTTGCTTTTATTTTTCTTTATAGTAGTTATCAAAAGTATGGTAAGCTAATGTATGATAATGATATGGTAATGTGTTTAAATAAATGTTAACAGAAAACTAGGTTTTCTTATGATCAGACATGGATGAGAATGGAGACCATCATGCTATGTAAAATAAGTGAGACCCCAAAAGTGAAGGGCCTGATGTTTTCTCTCCTATGTGGAAACTAGACGGCTGAAAAAAGCAAAAGTTTAAAAAAAAAAAAAAGCCAGGGGATCCCATGAAAATAGAAGGGGCATCAGTGAATTAGAAGTAGGGGACTGAAGGGGAAGGACTGGCAAAGGGAAGAATGAAGGAATGAATCTGACCAATTGTAAATAAACTGTAAACAAATACAAGATCAATAGAATAAAAACAGAGAGAATAGGGGGAGAAAGGAGGGAAGGGAAAATGGAAGCACTGGGGATTGAATTGGAGCAAATTACATTTTGGGCTTATAAAATTATGTCAAAATGAACCTCAATATTATCTATATCTATAATGAATAAATAATCTTTTTTAAAAATCTCTTCCCTCATTTTTAACAGTGATAATTAAGCCTCCATTTTTGCTTTTGTCTTTATGATAGTTATCAAATGTATGGTATGCTAATATATGATAATCCTATGGTAATGTGTTTAAATAAATGTTAACAAAAAACTATGTTCAAATTTATGTATGCATTTTATACCAAAACAAAATTTATCAGTGTAAAGATGGTATTGACATATGATCTCTATATTTTAGGAATTGTTTTTTCATTTCATTGTATGCTAATAGCTTTAAAGTAATATTAAATAATTTTATTAAATTGAAGATACAACATAAAGAATAACATGAAAAGTAGTATCTTGGATAGTTTTTTCTACCTTCTATTGTACTAATTTGTTCATTATGTACAGGTATTAAATCTATAATCTGATAGAAATGCATATTTTTTAAAGAAAAGTTAATTTTGATATCCCTCTCAAGTTTAAAGGAATGCTGAATCAAAGATATAGTCAATAATACAAAACATTTATACTCCTTGATTTAATAATTTCACCCAAGATGTTGATAAAGCACTGTTGTTTTCACTAAGTATTTATCTTGAAATAAAACTATTCAGCATTTTTTTTGGGGGGGGGAAAGTGTTTGGAGTGATAAAATTGCTCTGGAACTAGAAAGTGGTGATGACCTTATCACATTAGAATGGTACAAAATATCACTGAATTTTACAATTGGTAAATTTAATGTTGTGTATGCATTGCCACAGTAAGAAAATAAAACTACAATAAAGAAAAGACATCTGTAACAAGACTGCTTCTATTTAGGTATTTTAAAAATCAAGCAAAAAATGAGGATAGACAAGTATATATATATATATATATATATATATACTTCACATATATACCTGCAACAAATTTATTACCTGTAATAAATTAACTATGGATGTTAGTTTTAGACCTTCCATAAAATTTGATGTATGAATGAAAGGAGGAATAAAATCAGTAACATTTGGTCTAGTTTTAGCATGAAAGTAAAATAAGATTTAGAAGAATTAAGGGAAAATATAGCAACATTGGTTTTGCAAGTTTTACTTTCTTTCCCTTTCTTTTTTTGGCCACTCTTAAGCAAGGCAATCTCGGTACTTTTCTCATCTGAGCATGAAATGACATTAATGATATTGCATTTCATGTGCTAGAATTATCTGAAACAGAAGTCCCAGCTTCAGGGATGTAATTATGTAGCAACTGGCCCATCTCCACTGTGCTTAGCCTAACTATCCACAGGGCAGCGCCCTCTATTATAGCATACTTTAGAATCTTCCCATACAATAGTCTTGGAGGACTGAAAACTTCTACGTCTTAAGTTGCTTATACTTTTACCACAAAAAAAAATGTTAACTGGCCTTTGTTGTCCAGGAGAACCTGGACTCATATTTGGAAAAACAATGTTTCTAAGAAATAAGATAAAATGAGTAGACTTTGCTGCTTGCAATTTCTCCTTTTATATGAATTATCTCATTTCTATTTATACAAATCAATTTATTTGGACAACTTCAATATCTATTTTTGTTTTCATGCTGTAGTTCTATAATAAACCTAAAACTTTGTCTGGCACTAAACCTTGTTAGATTATCTCACTTGATTGTCCAAATACATTAATGTGTTAGATAAATAAGACAGACATTACTGTCCTTACCTTATTTATCTTTTCCAGAAGAAACAATCTCATATCTTCTATTCAGTTCTTCCAAGGCCCAGTTCTAATTGCAAGACTCACTTCTTGTTTGTTCTTACTTGATTCTGTAAGAAACATGTCGCCTCCTAAAAAGTAATATGCACTTATCTCTGGAAATCTAGAAAACAGAGAACAACATCAAGAAATTGCAGTTCAGTATGAATCTCATTGCTTGGAGCGTAGGTTAATTTTTAGAAGAATCACATTTTCAGTCTTTGTAGATAGATGATCCTAGAGAGTTCAAAATTTAAACCTATGGTATGCAAAAATCGAATCTTTTTCTCACCCAATTCAGGATCAAAAATGTCTCAGATAAATATTCAGTCAGTTCAAAATTTAAGTCACTCTTAAAATATTTCCCTCCCTTAATCCTAAGGTGTTTTTTTATTTATTTGTTTGTTTTGGGGGGTACCAGGGATTGAACCCAGGGGCACTTAACCACTGAACCACATCCACAACCCTTATTTATATTTTGTCTGGAGACAGAGTTTCACTAAGTTGCTTGTGTCCTAGCTAAAATTGCTGATGCTGGCTTTGAACTCACAATCCTCCTGCCTCAGCCTCTGAAGCTGCTGAGGTGTACACCTAAGGTAGTTTTTGAGCTCAGGAGTAAATGTTACCTATTTTTGTGTGTGTAGTAGATGAAATTGTGAAAATTTTTCCTGCTTACAGTGGCTTCCTCCAACTTTCAGTTGAAGGATAGCTCATTTCTCCTGCAAGTACCTAGTGCACAGCAGCTAACACAATTCCTAGACTGCCCTCCTGGCCACTTGTAGGACACACTTGAATCTCTCTTCCCAGAAAGTTAATCAGTTTGGTACTTGATCCATCTACTAGCTCTAGTACAACTATTGTAGGGACAGATCAGGCTAGGCACTGAAGATAGCAGGAAACAGTTTTATTTGGCTGCAGCCAGATTCAGAGGACAAAGCTTTTGCTGTAATCAATCAATCCCCTGAACCCCAAGTTCAGGTAGTTTCAGAATTTTATACCCAGCATGTAAGGAAAGGGGCTCAGAAGTTCACAGTATTCAGAAGTTCACATAAAAGCAGTTTTTTTATTTCACTGTTCTGGGCAAGTTAACCCTTCAAGGACAACACCCGAGAAGGGGAGAGCTTCTTCTCCCTTTTCTTTCCTCCCCCTGCCAGCTGTTACCATGGAGCCCAATTGGTAACTTCTCTTACCTTAGAAATGTAGACATCTCTGTGAAGCCCCAGCTCAAATCCAGAGGCCTTCTTTACATATTTCTACAAACTACTATACTGGAAACATGTTTGTGAAAAACAGGTAAGAAGGTGACCAGCACCTGGAATGCTTATTTCTTCCCGGCCAGTGGCCCAGTAAAATAGGGCAACATGAAAATAGAAAGTTTATCTAGATTGAACTCTTTTGTAGAGACTCTTTTGATGACAGTCTTAAAATCAGCCGTGGTGAAGATTTCTGGAGAAGACCAGTTAAGACTTTTCTGTGGAGAAAGGGGGTGCTACTATACAACCACATCCACCATCTGGTTTTCCACCCCTGTCTTGAGCAACAAGACAAATATTGTCTTCCACTGGGTCACCTAACAAATTCTAGACCTCTTCCACTAGATGTCCTTATGCAATCCCACTATCTCTTAACTGCTCCTTAAACTCCTATTGGCTGATATTTTCTCTCAAAGGCTTGGCTTTTTCTTATATATGTCCTGAGAAATAAAGAGCAATCTCCCTCTAGGCTCTAGAATTTTCCCAAATATTTCTGATGGTTTCAACACCAATCCTTGTGTGGTGCAGAATACTCCTATGAAATAATAGAGTCTTAGTTGCTTCTCTTCCTCAATTCTGCTTAGAAGAGCATCTCTCTACCCTTTTCTCCCTTACTGCCTTTATATCGTATACAAACATTCCTCACTTTGCATACATGTATGGTACCATAAAATTACTAGGCAAACCCAAATCACACAAAGCAATATTAAGAATCAAAGGGAAAACTATTTTGCTCTTTGACCCTTTCTTTTTAGGGAGAGATTTGAAACCAAGCATACTTCACTACTGGGCTACATCCCCAACTCTTTCGAATTTATTTTTAAATTTTTGAGACAGGGTCTCAGCAGGATGCCCAGCCAGGCCTTGAACTTGAGCTCCTCCTGTCTTCACCTTTAGAGTCACTGGGATTACAGGTATGCCCCCACTGTGGCTAGTTTCTTCGCCTACACAAATGTATATCAAAAACTTTAACTGTTCTGATTTTGGATTATAAATGCATAGAAGATGACAAGAACAGTAAAGCTGTTGTTTATTTAACACAGCATATTTGAAAATGTTAGAAACATTAAGAATTATTTTATTTCTTTGTAAAAAAATTGAGTAGTTTGAACAGATTGTCTTCTTTTCCTTATATAACTTATGATTACTGAGAATCTTTACTATTCTTTCAAAGTTGTATATTCCTTACTAAGTTTGGAACAGTGTCAACATTTCTCCTTTTGATCTTCAATGTCATGAAATATCCTCAATAGTCCTTTTCATGTAAAGGCTTTTGCTGATATCAATTTCTCTGGGACAGCTTTATCCTTTATGTGAAAACCACTTTCCTCTTTTGTGTTGGTAAAGTCAATTTAACTCTGTTCCCATAGCTGGTACCTAGATTCTCTTGCAGTGTCAACATGGTAGCTGTGTTAATGTACCCATAGTCAGGCCCTGCTTCTATAACTCCATTCACTTTCAAATAAGATATTTAACTTCCAGAAATATCTTTTTTGTTTGTTTGTTTGCTTGTTTTTTAAAACTTCATTTTTATCTTTGCTGGGCAGTTTCACCTTTTTATTATACATTTCTGTAAAATATTAGATGAATTTATCCCCAGGCAGAACATACAGCTGCATGTTGCTATCTGCACATGAGGTAGCAGTTGCACAATGCCCAATCCCTGTCAGGCTTTCAAGGATGTGATTGGTAATGAATATGTTAGTCAACTTTTTGTCAATGTGACCAAAACACCTGACATGAAAAATTCAGATGGAAGAAAAGTTTCGTTTGGGCTAGTGGTTTCAGAGGTTAAGTGCTTGGTCAGCCAACTCCATCTCTTTGGGCACACAGTGAGGTAGAACATCATGGCAGGGGGTATGGGGAGGAGCACTGTTCACCTGATAGTGGCTGGGAAACAGAAAGATGATACTGAAGGGAAGATGAACCTTCCAGGGCACAGTCCCAGAGATCTATCTCCACTAACCACACCCCACCTGTCTACAGTTCATTCAAACTAGGATAGATTTAATGCCTTACAGCTCCCATAATCCAGTCAATTCCCCTCTGAATATTTCTGAATTAACACAGGAGATTTTAAGGGATATCTTATATGCAAACCATAACAATGTACTACTGTTATATAAGATTTGTAGACTTAAGAACTAGTGGTAGAGCTGCTGTTTTATGTAATTATCCATAGCTAATTATGCTATGGTGATTGAAATTTAAAACATGTTATTGGGGGATTGGTGTTACTTAACTAAACTACAGTACCTGGAATTCATTTCTCTGCTCTTCTTTCCCCAGGTGACCTTCAGTCTCCTGTTTCCTGAAGCTGCAGATAAACAGGGGCTGTAGAAAAGAAACTGAACTACTAAAAAGGGGGAAATCATTAGGAGATAGTTTAAAAATATTGACTTTATAATTGAAATGTTATTTACACATGCTTATTCATATATAATGTTCATAATTTTCATATTACCAACATTTAACAACCTGGTTTTATGAGTATATAATAGATCATCAAATAATAACTACATTTTATTGAGTGCTCCTATATACTAGACAATGTTCCAAATGCTTGTAGTATTATATAATTGAATGTCTTCAATATTTTTAGTTAGGTATTATTATTACCCACATTCCCGAAATGAGAAAACTAAGGTACAGAGAGTTTAAATTAATTAGGGAAGCTGGAGAGATCATAAGTCAGAATCTATGACCGGAATTCAAGCAACCTAATTCTAGTGCCTAATCCACTGTTCTTCTAGGCTACATTTCAATATTTTTCAATATTATTTATTCATTCTGCACCCTTTTGGGTATTTAGACTTTGGCATTTTTCTGTTTTCTTTGTACAGAGATCTTGTATACATTCATGTTTTTTTTAAACAAAAAAAATCCATAACTTGAGTTATTGTATCAAATTTTTATGGTTGTTTTTAAGTTTTAAAGTTGAATTTTTCAAATCCCCCTTGAAAGCATTTATGCCAATTTCTATTTCCATAAGCAATGCATTAGATTGCCTATCTAGACAATTTTCACCAAATAGCACATTTGAACATATTTTTACCAGCTTTTGTATTTCTTTTGTCAATTACTATGATTATTCTTTGTCTGTTTTTATTGACACTATTAAAAATTATTAGCATGCTTTTATACACCAATGATAATCAACTCATGTCACCTGTTGGATGTGTTCTACACATTTTAAGCAAGACTTAAATTAACTTATGCAGTATTTATAGGAAAATTGTTGATTTTGCATATTCATTTAGTTACTGCTCTTTTTTCCTGGATGAGGCAGAAACATTGTGAAAATAGCATAAAATGAGAGTTGTTATGAAAGGACAGCAATGCTAATGAGTTTAGAATTCATTATGGTATCATACAGGTTTGTTTTAAAATTCCATATATGAAATAAAATTAGAATTATGCAGAGTAGTTTAAGAACTCAAAACTTCTGAGCAGAACTACAAAGGAATAAAATAAAGAATCTGTAACCAAACTAAGGAAGAAAATCAGAACAAAACTTGCAGCACAGTTGTGATTTAATGCTGAATGATAAAAATGAGGGTCAGGAACTGAGGCAGATGTGTATTGACAGGCTGGAGGTGAAGGTCTAATGATTATGCTGAAGCCTCCCCAAATTAATCATATCACATCCAATCAATAAGAGAGATGAGGAATAGCAAAAATAGCATTTATATAGATTTTACATATCAGTAAACCAGATGAAGAGGTGGCACAATCAGGTGACTTGTTTTTATAATGCAAAGTAAGCCATTTAGGCTGAGAATATTGACGTTCACTAGTTCACTATTTTTTTTTAAGAATTTTGGTTCATTTACCTTCAGGGCAGAGTCTTCCTTGCATGATGAACCCGGAAGCAATATTAATACTTGCTATCTGATTATGCAATAGTATAATACATCCACTGCCACCTCCTTTCAATTGCTGATTCTCTTTGCACATTAATCTTTCCAGCCTCAGATTTTATTTATGCTGTATGGATAATATTTTAATTGTGTGAATGTGAAAAAATACAATAAATATCACAGGGAAATTTTCAGAGAGAAGGATTCCAACTGAGGAGGCAATACATAATATACTTGGAAGGCTTTAGAGTTCCAGATTTTGATTTCGAAAATGATACATCATTGCTTTGATGGGTGCAAGATAAAGTTAATAACTGACCTAAATTATTCACTTCCAAGCCAATTTATCTCAAAGTACATTTCTTTGTACTCTCATCATAAAAGAGATGTAATTTTAAAACTTAAATTAATTTTGGTATATTTATGTGTCAACTTTTTTTTTCCTCTCTGTCATGATAAATGGAGCACTGATTCTTAAAAGCTTTCCTAATCTATCTGCACACTGGAGTTGACCATCTTGATCAGAATTCAAAAGCTGCTGCTAATTTCTTCCTTGCACTATGCTACAAAGTTCACTTCCCCACATTCTTAAAAAAAAATCTAATAATGGGCTGAGATTGTAACTCAGTGGAAGTGCGCTTGCCTAGCATATTTGAGGCACTTAGTTTGATTCTCAGCACCACATATGAATAAATAAAATAAAGGTCCATCAACAACTAAAAAATAATTTAAGTATATATATCTAATGTCTCAGTAAGTGATATTTGGGGTCAAAATTAAATGAAAAATTTTGTATTTTTTTCTTGTCTATAAAATATTCTGAAGAGTGGTCACACAAAATATTTTTTTGCTTTGTTAAGTGTAGTAAGTAATCTATAATTTAGACTATGAAAGTGGTACTAATTTACATAGTTTATTCATGCAGAAATCACTAAATTACCAATAGCTGAAGAGTCTTACTAAAGCAAGTATATTTTTTAGATATTTAATTTATTAGTTTATTGTCTTACCAAAACATTTCCCAAAGTAGAAATTGTCATTCAAATCAGCATAGTCTGAAATTTTTAGAATTTCAAAAACTTCTATTTACTATCAACACCATTGAATTGTTTTCAAATTCTCACTTTATGCAGAAGAATATATGTGGTCCCTATTTCATAGCTTAAAGATAATTAGCCTCCAATTTTCACCAGTTATATTTTCACCTGTGCCCCTTGCAAAGTTCAGGAATTTCAGACTTGTCCAATTACTCTGACCCTTCTTTCCAGGTGAATGAAAATGCAAAGCATCTCTTTCCCATAAGAAATTAGCCCATGGCCTACTAACCTCTCAGGTCATATCCCAATAGCTCTTATGCTGTCATTTAAAATGATTTTTCTTATGATAAATCCACAATAGCCTAGTCAGTCATTGTAATATAAAAAAAAATGACACCTGATGTAGAGTATATTTGTATTGCTGAAGAAAGCCAGAACAAATTCCTTCTGAAATAACACTATAAATTACATTCATTTATAACATGGGCAATTGGTAGCTCCATTCCTTTTGTAATTTATAATTCTATTCTTGCTCTTATTTATAGGAAAAGGAAACGATCTTAATAAGTAAAGCTGGAAGAGAACTGAACTGTTGCTTTATTGTTGAAGCATCTGGACCATTTCTGCTTTAGCAGCAGAGATATATTTCCTAGGCCCTTCCTCTCTCTTCTCATCCTCACACCCACTAACTGTGGAATAGGCATTTGTTTACAGTAGCTTTTGGTTTTCAAAAGCTTTAAAATGTTATAAAAGAAAGAAAATGTTACTGATCATAACAGAAACAGCTAGTTTAGTGATAGAAAGAGAATGGTCCTCTATGTTTTGAGATAACGTGAGTGGAAGAATGAGAATATATAGAAGCTGAACAATCAAAGATTAAAAAATAATTATTTGTCCAGAGAGCTACCCTAGAGGAAAACTTATGGATGTTTGTGAGCATAATTCACACTATACAAATCAGTAACTGAGAGCAACTTTGGGTTATTTAGAGCTGAGAATAAATTGTTAGAAATCATTTGCATGGCTTGACTAAAAATGACAAAATATCCCTATTAAAATCATTATTTGGGACTCTAATACAGTTGAGAGAGAGAGAGAGAGAGAGAGAGAGAGAGAGAGAGAATATTTTAATGTTTATTTTTTAGCTTTTCGGCAAACACAACATCTTTGTATGTGGTGCTGAGGATTGAACCCGAGCCGCACGCATGCCAGGCCAGCACGCTACCACTTGAGCCACATCCCCAGCCCTCTAATACATTTTTTGTTCCTTCTGGAAATCTGCTCTATGCAACTATTTCTTAATAAATACTTTTTCTATAGAGTAATGTTAGAATGCCTGTTCTAAATGCCATCTGGATTCTGTGAAACAAATTTCTTATCATTTTCTCAACATTGTTTCCCAAATATCCCCTTTTACCTAACCCAATGATCTACCCTATAGGAACAAAATATTTAATTGAATGATAGAAACAATATGTACAATTATGTTTTTTCAGAGGTAGCAACCATATGACATTATTTTAACCTCTTTTATTCTGTTTTCACTGTGCTGAAAAGAATCATAGCTAAATCTGGCTAAACTGGTTTCTTCACCTGTGAACAAGCACATTTGTACCTGTTTTGTTCCTTCTTGGACAAATCCTGTCTATTCCTCAGACCTCATTTTCTTAAGGAAGCCTCCTTTAACCACCTCTTGCTATCATCTGAAACCTCTCATTTCAATACCAACATCTGTAATGGACAATTTTCAACCACATGTGATATATAAATGTAAAACCTAGCCTTGTACACAGTTGTCCTGGTATATTGGTTCATTTTACAAATAAAATATTAAAAAACGAAAGGATCAATTTTTTATCTTTAGTTTCTCATGTGAATATACATTATCTCATGAAGAGTTGAGAAGTATATTGCCTACACTAAAACTTACAGACAAATAGAAATATAGGAGCAAACTTAAGGAATAAAGGTTGCCTAGTAATAACATTATCATCTCTTTAAAATTCCATGCATTTTTCTATTAATGGAAACAACCCCATGCTATTTTCTTTTGGTAGCAGATTCATTACTTACTATTTTTTTTTATTTTTTAAATTCTCTTTTAATGAACAATTAAAAATTAGATCTATTATCATGTACAACATGATGTTTTGAAATAAATATTGGGGATACATAACTCAATGCACTATCTTATTTTTGTGGTAAGAACCCTTAAAATCTGCAATTAGTACTTTTGTTATAGAATATAATCAAAATATTGTACAATAGATCTCTTCAACTTATTCAATCTAACTGAAATTTTCTTTTCTTTGACCAACATCTTCCCAAACCTTCTTCAGATCCTGGGAACTCTGCTTCTAAGAGATAGATTATTTTAGATTGCATGTGTAGGATCTTGCCTCATTTGTCTTTGTGTATCTAGCTAATTTCAGTTAGT